TGTCCCTCGTCTTACTGCCATGTCACGTCAGTCTTGTTTATATTCAGTAAACCTGTAGGTCAGTGTTGTTGCAAAAGCAAAATATAAGCAGGTTTATTTTTCCATGTCCTCTAATATTAGGCAGCAGTCTCTAGAAAGATCTTCAGACTCACCTGGATCTTCCCCTCCATGTGGGCAGATGAATTCTACTCTTTCACATATAGTATCTGTTTTCATCCACTGTGTAGGTGTACGTATTGTTTCTGTGTGGCAGCCATATTCTAGCCTCAGTCTCACATCTTAACCCCCCACTTATCTTTTCTTGACCAAATGGGAGCAGCTGAAGGTGCATTATGAGTGGCAAGTGCAATACGGGCATTGATAAGTCACCACCATCTGCTGTAACCTGGATTGCATTTCCCGGACAGTCATTTCCGTTTCTCTTTTTCCTCGGCGGGCATTTAAGTGCCCACGAGGTCGGATATAATAGCATTTAGACGTTTGATGATGCATTAACACTGATACTTCAACACCAAGCTCCAAAAATTTGATACACACACACACACACACTTTCTTCCGGCTACACAGGGCTGTGGGTGAGGGGGCAGATCTGTAAATTGCTTCCTTATGTCATGAGTACCTCCCTTAATGCTTGCTTGACTGACTGCAGTAAAATGTGCTTAAATTCACAATTCAGAATTGTAACTCCCCCCCCCCCCCCATCTACCAACTTGCCAACAACACGAGGGAATGTGTTTCTTACTAGGGTTGCAAGGGAAATGTGTCCTTAGTATTTAAATCTGCACTATGAGTGACTTGCACTGACAGTGAGTTATTTCATTTAATATTTTTATGAAAAGTCACAGTGTAACATGAGACCGCAGCACACATGGCACATTCTTGCATCTGCATCACCTTATTGGCCACACGGCTTCAAGCTTGGTGCAAAGCTGAAGCAGAAATGTTAGCTTCTTTAAGCCTTGTGCCTGTGTATCATACTATTACACTCAAACTGTCTTTTTTCCTTTTCAAATATTCTTTTCCTTCTTGATTTGATAGGTATCCTCATGCACCAAGCGGATTACCTTCTATGAGCTGCCAAACCTGACAAAATGAGACAAAATGAGACATTTGGGAGCAAATTAATATATGTGAGAGCAAATCATAGTTTATCTATTTTAAAATAGTAGTTTAATACCCAAGCTTTAACTGTTTTATGAGCACGGTTTCAATGATTCCCATTGCTCACTTGCCTCTTTCCCCATCATCATAAAAATAGGCAGCGTGTGGCTCAGTGGGCTAAGCCTGTGTACCTATAATCAGAAGGTTGCCAGTTCAAACCCAACCTCAGCGTGTCTGTGGGTCCTTAAGAAAGGCCCTTAACCCCCAGGGTGCTACTATGGGCAGCTGCCCTTTGTAGACAACTTGCTCTACAAAGAGTAAGCTGTGGGAGACATAAAAACAATTCCCCCATGGGAGCAATAAAGTGTCTATTACTATTATGCTATTTTCATGTTGATGTGGGGAACAAGCAAGTGGGTAAAAAGTGAATGCATGCTCATAACAAACAGTTAAAGCTTCATTATTAAATTATCATTATTATTATAAGCCAGCAAAACCATGGGTTTCTTTTAACCTAGCTACCTGTCAATGTCCCTTTTCATCTTCTAGTAATGTGTTGGTCCCGTCTGAGAGCTGATTTATTTTCTTTTTCTTTTCGTTTGTTAATTAATACAAGACAATAATAGGATCAACTATTCGCATCACTACTGCACCATTCATGCTAATGGTGTCATGCCCTGTATTGTCTCCCTATTGTGGCTCTAATGAGCCACGCCTGTTCTGTGTGCATCTTACCTCTCGTTTCTGCCCTTGTGTGGATCACTCCAGCTGCCTCTCATTTGCTCCTTCATCAGTCCTGGATAAAAGGGCTTCCCAGTCCTGTGCTCCCCAGTCCTGTCATTGAAGTCATTCCATGTGTGTACTCCAGAGTTTTTCCCGTGTTAACCTACCTGTTTGACCCCTTGTGGTCTGCCTTGTTTTGCCCGGTTTCTGTGTTTATTTCAATAAAGCCCTTTTTCATGTTTGTTTTCTTAAAGGCAGATTGAGCAGGATTTGCTAGAAAGTGTTGCATGAATTACCTTCAAGGTATGGCAACTTTACAATAAATTTCATAAATTCAACATATTAAATTTACTGACAAAGCAGAGGGATATTACAGATCATTGACATTAGGCCTGGCAGTACGAGTAATTTAGTGCTGCTAAACCTAGTCTTACACATGCAAAATAAAATATTATTGGTAGTATGTCTAAGTCTGAATCTGACCCAAATCTTGCCCTATCATTATTTTAGTGATTATTTCACAGATAAGCCTAGCAACCCTCACCCCCTAAAAAAGAAAAAGAAAAATGAACAGCTCTCGGAAAAGAATCGAGCCATAAGATCCAGCTCCTTTCAAAGAGCTGTTATTCCCATCACTAAAATGGAATGGCTCTCTAAAAAGAGCCTGAATTCCCATCACTATCATCTGCTATCTTTGTCTTCTGGAGAAGCTTTTCATAATGGACAGTCAGTTACAAAACTAGGAGCCATCAGCCAATAGCATTTGCTGACAGAACTGGCGATGAGCCCCTCCCCAAACTACCAATACTCAAATGCAAAAATCTTATTTGAGTGCAGAGAGCTGCTGAAGGTAATCCGCTTGGTGCACGAGGATAACTATCAAATCAAGAAGGAACAAAAACATTCAAGGAATAAAGACAATTTGAGCGTGATATTATGATACACGCGATTATTCTTTCTGTGCTTGTGAGTTTAACATTTGCGTATGTAAATGGGATACTTACACCCGCAAAATGTTTAAACTTCCTGGATTATATTTTTCACATTATGTTTTATTGCCTTTTAGTTTTGACATTGATGTGATGCCATAATAGAAGATAGATAAATGTATATATGCTTGAGAATGTGTGTGTGTAGATGTGTGAGCAGAACTGCCACGTGTGTCAGTGTTTGTACTTGAACATTGATGCTTTCAGACGTTTGAACCTTGGTGTTTGTGCTGATCTCTCTATAGATACAAAGCAGATGCGTCTCCATCTCGGCTAACACTGCAAACAGCAATTGACCTGTTTAAATTCTTCTCCCTAATGTTGTTGTGGGAGGAGACTACGATATGTGGTGTTTTCACAGCGGAGGAAGCCAAGTTTGTGATGTCACAAAAGATGGCCATGGTAGTAATGGAAACCCTGTGAGTTTAGCAAAGTTTAATACTTAATCTTCACACACTCAGAAACATTTCAGATCTAAAAATCCATATTTTATTCTTTATATGGCTTTGGTTGCTGGCCTGTCTGAAATGTGAAGGCCACCCACTGCCTGTAACTGAATGCAGGCATTGTCTTCCTCCTGAAGAATTGGAAGGTGTTTAAGATGCTGGGCAGACAGCGTACATGGAGGCATGACCTTCCTTGAACCCCTTCGCCTGTATGATATTCTGCACTGGGAACGAATATGAGGCCAACACAGGTTTAATTGCCTTTTGGGATTCAACATCTTTCCTCTTAACAGGTGTCTCCATTAATGGGAGGAATATTCACACAGATGCATCCGTACAAATACACACAAGCCGGCTGTTTTTACACACCTTATCGGCTTCATCTCGCTCAGCTACCCCACAGGAGCACGTCTTCAATGAGCTGAGATCCTTCTCCACTCCCATGAATAAATGAAACCCCGCCCCCTCCCCCCCCCCCCCCCCCCCCCCCCCCCCCCCCCCCCCCC